AGCTAACTATGGGAAGCGCTGGGGCTTCGTGTAGGGGTTGCTGCTGCAGCATGAAGACCCGCTGCTGCTGCTGCTGCTGCTGCTCTTCGAAGTGATGCAGGGTTTCCGGCAGCTGGTGCTGAGAACGCTGCCGCATGAGCATTGCCTGCTGCTGCTGCTGCCGCTGCTGCTGCTGCTGCTGCGAAGAGTGATTGCTGCCCTCAACGATGACGCTGCGAGTGTCCGAAGCCTCCGCAGACGCTGCAGCAAAACGGCAGCAGCAACAGCACGATAATGCTGCAGCAGATGCGGCAGCAGCAGCAGCAGTAGCGCCAGAAGCAGATGCTGCAGCAAAACGGCAGCAGCGACAGCACGTTAATGCTGCAGCAGATGCGGCAGCAGCAGCAGCAGTAGCGCCAGAAGCAGCCGCAACAGCAGAAGCAGCAGCAGCAGCAACAAACCTCTGCATGAGAATGAAGACTCCAGAGAAGGGGGATAAGGATTGCGTGGGGGCAGTTCCAGGCGGCAAGGCCCGGCCAGCCTGCAGCAGCAGCAGCAGCAACAGCAGCAGCAGCAGCACTATGTCAAAGCATTAGCAGCAGCGTGTACGCAGGCCCGCAAGCCTCAACAGAAACAAAATGGCAGAAGCAACAGCAAAACTGGCGCCTGCAGCAGCAGCAGCAGCCCTATCACACACATTGCCGAAACGAACAGCAGTAGCAGCAGCAACGGCAGCAGCAGCAGCAGCACTGCATACTTCGGGTTATAGTGTCTGGGGTTCCGTGCGAGGCAGCAAGCCTCGTAAAGATTTCCGAGGACGCCCCTGCAGCAGAACAAGCAAAAACCAAAGTGCTGCACTGCAGCAGCAGCAGCAGCAGCAGCAAGGGCAGCAGCAACTGCAGCATCATCAGCCGCCGCAGATGCAGCAGCCCCAGAGGCACCAGCAACGAGAGCTGCTGCGACATAGCATATAGAACAGGAACCAAAACTAGAAAAGCTGCAGCAGCAAATGCAGCAGCAACTGTTGCAGCAGCAACAGAAGCAGCAGCAGCAGCAGCAGCAGCAGCAGTCCCACTTATTCCACGGATTTGTTGCGTAGAAGAAGCTTTTGATTTGCTCATATGTCGTTTGGTTTGTTGCTATCTGAGCGCAAATAGCAAAACAGGCCGCAGCGCAGCAGTGCAGCAGCAGAAGCAACAGCAGCAGAGCAGCAGCAGCAACGCAGCAGCAGCAACGCAGGAAGCCCAGCAGCAACGCCAGCAGCCGCTCACCAAGGCCAGCAAGACCACCAGGAAGGAACCAGCCAGCGCAAAAGCAGCAGCAGCAGCAGCAGCAGCAGCAGCAG